TTCACCTTTGAATAGCATGTTTTCTACTTTGTCTTTAGTGAACCCATTTTTCACTAAATGTTTAGAGGGAGAGTGTCATAGCATGCTCTTGGAGTTTGCTTGATTCCATAGAGTGCTTTCTTTAATTGAACACCTGATCTTCCTCTCTATAGATTTTAGATCCAGGAGGCCTCTCCACGTAGACCTCCTTTTCTAGTAGACAGTTCTTAGGAAGGCATTCTTCACATCCATTTTATAGACTGTGAGTTGCTTATGGGCAGCATATGCTAAGAATATCTTTATAGTTTCAAATGTGCAACTGTGGCAAGGGTTTCATCAAAATCTATTCCTTCTTCTTTATAGTACCCTTTGTCCATCAATTCTTAACAATGATGCCTTCCTTAGTCACCCTTTTTGTTCCTTTTGAACTTGCTTGTATCCAGTTAGAAGTTTGTAGGGCTTCTTCAGTCCTTTTAGGTTCTGTTTGAGAGAAGAAGCAAATATTGCTTCTTCCTGGATTGATGATCTTGTACGAACCCTTTGGATGATGTCATCAATCTTTTGATGAAGAGGATGTTGGTTGAATCATCTTGTGTCAGATGTCTGAATGAATTGAGTTACCAGCTCATCCTCATCTTCTTCTTTACTGTCTTCTGGTAGAATAAGCGGATTGAGATTATTAAGCCTTGTGCTTATTTCAGCTGGAGCATCTTGAAGAGTTGATTTTAGAATGAGTCAGCAGCTCGTAGTGTCCTGTATCAACTGCTGGCAGTGAATTTTTATTTGAGGCACCTGCTGGCAGTGGTCTGCTCTTTGAGGCACCTGCTGGCATTTGGCTGCCATTTGAGTTATCTGCTAGCAGTGGGCTGCCATTTGAGTTAACTGTTGGCAGTGGGCTGCCATTTGAGTCAACTGCTGCTTCCATACTCCAATCATTCTTTTTGTTGATTTTTTGTTGGGAAGGCAGCTTGGAGCCTTTCCAGTATCCTCCTTTCTTCTACCACTTAGCACAATTTTGTTGCTTTGGACATCTCTGATCAAGCAATTGTCCATGGAGAATGTCACATTGTGAATGTTATCGCGGAGCTGGCTTGTGCTTTTTGAACTTCAATCCCATATGGTATGTTTTGGATTGAAGGACTACATTTGATTGGATTCTCCAGCTCCTTTAGTTTCTCCTATTTCTTCCTCATTCTCAAAGGTTGCTTTGGGTCCTTCTCCAGATCTATAGCAATGACAGTCGCCTCTTGCTGCCTTGTCATGTGCATGGAGCAGCTTTGAGTATTTTATATCATTCTTGCAAGTTGGTTGCTCCAGCACCTTCCCGTTTTTGTCATTTTTGAGTAGCAGCCCACAAGTTAGTGGACATCTTCCTTTGAATAGGTTTGGGCATCCATGCCCTTCTAGGACCATTTGGATCTAAGCTGATGGATCTATAGCCATTCGGAGTATTGTAATCATAAGGAATGGATATATATTTGTGAACATTATTCCTTATGAAAGGGGAATGAATATGTGTATTAGGAGTGATCAGCTTTTTCTGTGGAATGTAGTTGGTCCTCTTGATTGGTTGCCAACCAAGTCTTTGATTTGATTGGTTATTCTGGAAGTTGGGTTTGTAAGGAAGTTTGGTTTTGGATCTGGGAGAGGACTGGTTCCTTTTATTTGACAGAGTTTGGGAGTGGGGATTTTGTTGGTTTGGTTTTCTTGTTTCTCGTAGATCTGTGGTGGGTTTTGTGATAGGAGAGCATTTGGGAGAGTCTTTCAATGATTGGGATAAAGGTGTGTATCCTGATCTTGTGTTCTTCCAGTTTTGAACTTCCTCAACAATAGGAGTAGTGAGGGAGCTTAGTCTTTCTTTTAAACTGATGTTTTCGACTTCAAGAAGATTTTTCATTTTAATTACTTCACCCATTTGAGCTTGGGCTATAATCAAATTTTCTTGAAGCCTACAATTCTCGTTCATTAAAAGAAGGTGATCCTTTTGAAAATTTTCAAGTTGATGGAGTAGAGCTTCCATATCAACACTGGAACAGCTAGAATCATATGAGTTACTTGAGGAACAGGATAATACCTCATCGTTGTCATTACTTGTTGTTCTGGTCATAGAGCAGTTGTTGGAGGAATTTTCAGCATGATGTATTCCGTAGAGACAAATCAGAGTCTCCTCCTCACTTCCTGATGAACTTCTTTCATCATTTGAGCTTTTTTGATCATCAACTGATTGGATCATTGAGAGCTCATCCCAGACATCCTTGGTTCTCCAGTCATCACACTTGCTTTGGTTGGACAAAGGATTCTTTGCCAACTGTCTGTCCATTGTTAGAAATTTGTTTTGGGGAGAAGAGTGGTTTTGGATCTTTAGTTCAAATTAGTCAGAGACTGACTCTAGGAACAACCTGCTCTGATACCACTTGATGGTCCCGGATAGAGGTAAAAGTCTAGAAGGGGGGGGGGGGTGAATAGACTTTTAAAGTTTTTTAAACTTTAAAACGTTTCTCCCTCTAAAGAGTTGATCTATAATCTTTTGGGAGATTTATAGATGTGCATCGGAAGTCTTTAACCTCTTAGATAAATAGTGTATAACACTTTCTTTGATGGATGGAGTTTGGGCTTTATCAGGTGAGCAGTTGGCTTGGCAGTTGCCTAGAAAGCAGGGAACTGCTGAGGCAACTGCTAGCGAAATACTCAGTGTATGATGACAGTGCACTCAGAATCTCTCTCAGAGTGGGAAGAGCTTTTCTGATGATATAACAGGGTAGATTGATAATCAACCTTAATGAGAGCAGTGGTCTCAGCAGTTGGGTGGTAACCAAAGGACTGTTGAGGCACCTGCTTAAGTAAAAGTGAAGGTATGGAAAGATTGATTATATGGTGTTGCTCAGGATGATGTGAGCTTTCTGAAGATGTGCATTAGTTCAAATAAGTGGGAGTTTTACTTGAAGCAGTGGTCTCGGTAGTTGGGTGATAGTGAGGGAACTGCTGAGGCACCTGCTAGGTTACCACTTTGAATTACAGGGATCGGTTTGAACAGACTTATTGGAAATAGAGTTGTGAAGGTCTGGTGAAGTTGAGAAGTTCAAAGGAAATACTTTTGTGTGAGCAGTGGGCTCAGCAGTTGGGTAATCACCAGGGGACTGCTGAGGCAACTGATATGCCTTAAGTAAAATTTCCTGAAATCTAATGAAACAGACCTTATAGTTGTGATATTGTAACGCTCTTGTATCTCAAAGACAGTGAGTGATTAAGCAGTAAAATAAGCAGTAGGGTCAATTAAGACTACTGCTTAGGATGCTGCTGGCAAACTACACTTTTATGAAAAGTGTTCAGTGTGTGCTTTGTTGACTGAAGATAAATCAACACACAGTATATCCTGGTTCAGAGGTGGTGTAATCCTCCTACATTCAGTCCCATCCTATTTCAAATGAATTTCACTAATGTATTAAGCCCAATACACTTAGTGTCAATCTAGCATTGACAACTCTGGCCTAGATTGAAGGTGTTTCATGAGGAGTACAACACCCCTCCAAGCTACTCAATCCTCTAGGGTTTTCTCAATTGATCCAGTGGGAATCAAAAGGTACTCCTGACCTATCTAACCACACTCAGGCCGGGAACAGCTGTCCTCTTGAAGTGTTTGCAACAATATCTGATTTGGTTACAAGAAAGTTCTAACCTCCAACTAGGAACTAAACTTCTAGGATTTAGCAATTAAGACTTGAGACTAATAAGTTTAGTGAAGCAAGAGTCTAAGTAGAGAGTAATGTATAGAATATCACTTTCTCTTTTGCTAGATATTTCGTGAATGCTCAATAAAAATATCTCTCTACTTAGGATGCTCAGGCTTGGTTAGAAACTTTCGTTTCAGCCTATATTTATAGGCTTCTCCAGTTGATTAATCTCATCCGTTGGTTAGGATGGATTAATCCTGTTCGTTGAAGGTTGACACGGACGACTTGTACATTCGTCTTCTTGTGCTGGAGCTTTTTAATGCGACTGTCTTCAATAATCTTTTAGCCGTTGGAACATCTCTTCAAAATAATCTCATGTGTGTCTTCTATGCTCCGGACCCCAGTACAAATTTAGCATTCAATGCTTCAAATTTTGTCTTCAATCATATATATTCAATGTATATGATTTTCGAGCTTATAACATGTGACATTTAATTAATCTTTGAGCTAAATAATATATGCCGGTAGGATCTAAATATCCTATTAAGGTAAATAAAAATTACCTTATTGCATTTTTACTTTTCCGGTAATATTTCTTTAGTCTCAAAAATTGTACATTTATTTTTGTCACTCAATGTTAAATGCAATTTTATAAAACATAATGTACACGTGCAGAGTATAGTGGCATCATCAAAATCTATCAAAATTGGGTACTAACAGATTGGTACAATCAAACTTACTTTATCTGTTAAATAATCCCAAGAAAAAATATATGTGATATTGTGTGCTTTAATTATGTTTTTAACAGCATTTTAGTAATTATGTTTTTTAACAGCATTTTACATTTGAGATGGTGAAATTTGAAGCATTAGAAAAGATTGGATGACTCAAAAACAAAAAAATGTGGTCTGTCAAATTACAAGTATTAGAATCACATTACAAGCATTAAAATACATGAGTACTTGATTTAGAGGACATATTATTATAGCTATAAAGTGAAATCCATATATACTGTAGTGGCTGATTTGTTTTTAAGCTATTTTTTATAAATACTGTTTGCTTATTGGTGAACCAACCATTTATAGGGCACAAGAATTCAAGCTACTGTACCACAAGAGTACATTCCACTATTTGAAGACCATATTCAAGAGGGGAGACTTTATGCTTTTATGCACTTCACTGTAAGAGAAAATGTAGGCAAGTGGAGACCAACACAACATCCATATCGGTTTTATTTTAATCAAAGGACTAAGTTTATGTCCCAGCCAAATGGTAAACACCCATTGTTTCCTCTCACTACCTATAAATTCACCACCTTCAAAGAGGTTTTGAATTCTCCAGATGTTGACGGTCCTAATCTGATTGGGAAGTATATCTTTTGTATACCTGCAATGAATGATTCATTCAACTTTAATACTTTGAAGTCACCATTACAATACTTTGTGTGAAGACATAATTGGTGCATACAATCCCTCCGAGCCCGTGAAGAAGCCCCTTGCATCTGAAGGCCCTCCAACCTGGTGCAGCTTTCAACTTCGTGATTTACAGTTAAGCAAATACCTCCACAAATTCCAATTTTTTGATAAGAAAAATAAGCACTTTTAAGATTGAAATACTAAACCAAGTGTTATTGTGTATAGGAATAAGGTTCTTAATTGCACTCTCTGGAATGAGTATGTTGACCAACTTGATACATATAAATCGACCCCAAGACAGAATCCCATTGTTATCTTACTGCAGCTATGTCGTATAAATAAACGATGGGGCGTGTTTCTTCTCCTTTGCACTTTTATATAATGTCAAAGGACATGCTTCATTTATATACTAACTACATTTTGTTACTAATTTACTTTTTAGATGGCACTAAAGGAGTAGCCACCTCTTTTTATGTTTCAAAGTTCATATTGGATGAACATATCCCTGAGATTGAGGATTTCCGAAGCAGGTAAATAGTTTCTTCAAATGATAAAAGACATGTCTACTCAAACTTTTTAGGGAGTTAACATGCATACATCATTGTAGTTTTTTAAGCATTAGAGGCTCTTTCCCATCGCCTTTAACACAATCATCATCATCCTCTGTTCTCATTGCCGATGTTACTGCTGAAATGGGTCCTACCATACCACTCTCTGAGTTGTCATCTGCTAAAGAGGTAATTTATTACCAACTTTCTTTACTGGATCCTATGGTTATTATCTATTCTGCTTACTGTAGTAAGTATTTTTTTTGTTTTATGCAAGGTTCATGGTTGTTGGGTTTATGGCCAAATAAGTTCCATTATTTCTTGGAAAACATGGGCTTATTTGGGCTGTGATGAACCTAGATGTTTCAAGAAAGTCATCAAAGATAATGGAAAACTTCGTTGTGTAAACTGTCACAAGAAAATTGGTAAAGGTATATGGCGATACAACTTAAGGTTTGAGAGTAAACCATAATTGTGACAACATTGAATTCATGTTCTGGGATTTGGAGGCACAACGACTCTTAGGAAAGGCAGCACAGGAATTCAGCATCCACCTAGATGTGGTATGCTTCTTCATGCATATTACTTTAGCCGATATTTGTTCCACCTATCTTCACACATCACCCTCTCATCCCAGCACATTCAGGACACACACTTTGTCCAAATCAAACATACTTATTTCCCTTTTAGGCTATTAACAAAGATGTTACATAAAGGGGATTGCCGTTGTACTGTTTTAATTTCAAATACTTAAATATACATTCAGATAATTTGCTGCAACCCAGGTTTCCTTATGAATATATTTTCACTCTTCTCTTAAAAATCAAAAGATTATGAAAAACGCACCCTTTTTTGTGCAATCTAAGATCTTTACTTTACTTTCTTCCTTGACTTTGGCCTTTAAAGTCATATGGACTTTAGAATCTTAATAGTATACACTTTCTTCACCCACACAAGCAAAAAAATCTAAATGGAGTCTGTGTGGCCTTCTCAGGCAGGTTTACTGTGCAAATGCTATCACTTTTTGCTGTGTAACCAAGTCTTATGCACTAATTGATTGTGTGTATACAACAATAACGTTTTTGGAGAAAGCTGGATGTCATTATTGGGTGCTTAAAGCAATAAGATATTCATTTAACAATTTATTTGGTTGTACTTTCTCTGCTACTTCAACTTACATTAAGACTTTGTCAATATCCACTATTATTTAGGAAAAGCTAGCACCAAAAAAACTTCCTGAAGAGATAAAAGAACTGGTTGGAAGGGAATTAATATTCAAAATAGACAAGGCACACGAAAATCGCACAAGTGGCGGTGTGTATTACTCTATCAACATGATTTCAGAGGATAGAGAAAAAATAGAGCGTGTGAAATCTGCAATTGTATTGCAGTCCGAGGTATTCCCACAACTTCAAGCAGAGTGATTGCTTTTGTGTTGCATTATGTGTCAGTGATGTATAAATAACTCTCAATAAATGAAACAATCTATAGTCCTATAATTCATATGAAGTTCTAGAGATGTCCATGGATTGTACATGGATTGAATTACAACCCATGGATTGCACATATCACTGACTCATATGTGTCAGTGATGTAATGATTTGTGGTTGTACATGGATTGAATTTCAACCCCTTTTGATTTTCAGACTCCAAGCTCCTTTGACAATGAAAATGTACCTACTCCACACTCATCAATTTCAAAACGAGTTTCGGAAGGTGATCTTCTAGGATCTGAAACAGGATCCAGCCAAGGCTCAAGTGTCAAAAAACAGAAGTTCATCAAGCTAGATATGGACTGAAGTTCAAGCTTCCTGATTTTTAAACCTCTTCAAAGCAGCCTGCACTTTTAGTAAATTAGGAACAATATCATATATACTTGCTCCATGAACATCTCTTCATTATGCTTTTTATTCACGTGCTCTTTTAATATTAGTCCTTTTAACAAATTTGGATTTCTAGCATATATAGTTGATCCTTTGAATGATTATCTATTGGATTTTATTGTTTTACTTTAATACAAACTTCAGTGAGCATTTGGTAAAATTCCAGTGTGTGTGTGTATAACTTCAACTCTGAAAAAGAATTTAGTTTTTGTAACCACCTTATTATTCATGGCTTCCTCCTATTTCTTATATGCCAAAAAGATGAGGTAAGTCATATTTATTGTAATAAACATCTACCCAATACATTACTTACATGCTATCTCAACTAAGCAAAAAGTATATAAACACTTAAACTTGGGTGATCCTTTTAGACATTCTCTATTTTCCATGGGAATTACTTCCTATTGGTCTCAATCTTACCAAAAGAACAAATGTTAGGAGTGCTTTGAGACTTGAACTTCACTTTCCAAACTAATGACTTGGCATTCCATCTTTTACCGTTGCACTTTTGATTCTCACCATTAAAGTTTGATTGTAACCATGGTTGTTACTTGTGTGGCCAGTAAGGTCAGTCTTTATTTTTCATTTCAACATTGTTTCACATAATAAAGAAGAATATGCCCTTTGTTTCAAATTAGAGAAAAGGTCCTGAATATGTAAGCTGACTTTTCCTCTCAGCTAAATACTATGTCCATTGATTTGTCCACTTTTTTCTTTCTACTTTATAATAAGGAGACTCAAGCTGAAACTTTAGCATGCATATATCTTAAGTTAAACAATATCCAGAATACATAGATTTAAAAAAAATAGAAGAAGGTTTTGGAGGTTTGTTTGTGACAATTATTTTATTTTACAGGCCAAAATATACGGAGTCCTATTTTGAAAAGGAATTTTAAAAAATCAAAGTCTGAAAGATCGTTTAGGATCTTTCATTTTCTCTAATAATATAGGAACCCAAAAGATTGAAAACTTCCATTCAAAAAAAATTATTGTACATTTTCATTCATTTTTACTGTTTACAGGGCTACCATTTTTTCAAAATAATTGTTACTTGCACAAAAATAAATAACATTTACAGTTTTAAAAAATTTAAATTATAATGTTCATGATATTGTAGTAATTAGAACCCGTTCTGTAATACTAAAATTGGCTTAATCGTCTCAATCTGCTTAAGCAGATGAAGCGGGTAAATTGGTTGAACCCGCTAAGGTATACAAAACATACGCTTAAAATAATTTTTATATGAAACATAAAGAAATGATTATATGAAAATATAGACGAAATCGATCAAACTTAAATAGACCAAACCAGTTCACACCAAACCAGACTTAAAGAGACCAGATCAGACCAGCCTAAACCAGCGAATTCCAGTTCAAGTAAAAACATCATAAATTCCAAAAATTAAACCATAAAAGTAACTCTAACCTTATGAAACTTTTTAATATTTTATTCACACTTTACTAATTCAATATCAAGTACACGATAACACTTTTTTAATAAACCCCACTTTTCCCTCTTAATTAGATTTTAAGGGATCAAGGTAGTACTACATCTGTCAAATATATGATTATTATCTCTTAATTATCAAAATTCTTTAATGGTACAACCAATACCTATGTACGTTACTTATCTACAATCACTCATGCTAATTGCTAAATAATAATACGTAGTACTAAACAGTAATGCTAAATAATGATAGACAATTTATTATGGTGAGGCTGAATGATAGAAACTTTGTGAGGAGAGCACCTTATATGGAATATATGGAATTGGTACAAACTACAGATTCATCATATCAACGCCGATTTATGGTCACTCAAATTGATTAAATATCAATAATCACAAACTGATTTGCATATTCTTATGATATGAAATGAAATCAATGAGTACTATACATTAATTGATATGGATTAGGTCTGTGTTATCTGCCCTTACTAAGTACTATAAAAAGACAACTACTTTTCCTTTTCATCTTTACATTTCAGCTCAAATTCCACTTTATTCTCCTATTCTTTATTTGCGCACAGTCTCCGTGAGTTATTTGTTACCTTGCTGACATCAGATGAACTTTCAAAGCCAGAAGTGGTGTGGGAGCAATGGTGGGAGGATTTATCAGATGATGTACTATATAATATAAGAAGGAACCTCAATGATCAAGGTAAGCATAACTAATACTCCCCCAGTCCCAAATTGTAAGATACATTTACTATTCATTTGGTCAACGTAAATCAATACTAATCTTTTACTTTACATATCAAAAGTTTATGAAATTTGATTTTTTTGCAGGTTTTGTAGCGGTTTTAATATAGTTTCGGAATATGTAAATTTTATTTTCTAAAACTAATTTGAGTGTTGACAGGGATCAATTTGCTTTATTGTCGGTCAAACATCCTAAACCGTAAAGTATCTTACAAATTGGGACGGAGGGAGTAATATTCTTTTGTCCTTACTTTTAACACGCTACTAAAAAGACTTTCTAAATCATTTCATTGCCTTGAAGAGTTGGAAATAAGTGCAGCTGAAATAAAAAATTATGCTCTTCTAGAAGTTGAAAAACTTCTCCAACAAAAAGGGAAGTCTCTATGTAATTATGCAAGCATGCCTTTTCCTTCTGTTTCTCATATGGACTGTCTTCTACACAACCTAATACATGAAGAGATGATATATGATGTTGATGCTTTAGCTGAGGAGCATTCGAAGTTATTGCTAGACATGACTGAAGAACAACACAGTGTGTATGACATACTCATGGCTTCTATCAGTGGAAATCACGGTGATATCTATTTTGTGTATGGTCACGGAGATATTGGAAAAACATATTTGTGGAGAACTCTGTCAGCAGCTGTAAGATCTCGTGGGGGTATAGTATTGAATGTGGCATCCAGTGCCCTTGCATCACTTCTCCTTCCAGGTGGGCGTACATCACACTCTAGATTTGATATTCCATTAACAGCGGCAGAAGACTCGACATGCAACATCAAGCATGGTAGTGCATCGGCCAAGTTAATTCAAATGACAGGCTTAATTATTTGGGATGAGGCTCCAATGACAAATAAGTATTGCTTTGAAGCTCTTGATCGCACTATGAGGGACATCCTTCGATTCACTGTCACTTGTGATGCTACTAAACCTTTTGGTGGGAAAACAGTTGTATATGGCGGTGATTTTAGACAAATATTACCAGTTATTCCGAAAGGCAGTCGACAAGACATTGTCCATGCATCTTTAACCTCTTTCTACTTGTGGCAATTTTGTAAGGTACTGAAACTTACAAAGAACATGAGGCTTACAGGTGACAAAAATTCTGTTGTTTTGAAGAGTTTTGCGGATTGGATTTTGCAAATTGGAGATGGTGTTGTAGGTGATGATGAAGACGGTGAATCAATGATTGAAATACCTCAGTTTTTTCTCGCTCCTTTCATATCTAATCCTATAGAATCTATTGTGAGGTGACCTACCCCGATTTCTTGGAAAATGGAACCAATCCTTCCTATTTGACTTCTAGAGCCATTCTTGCTCCAACAATAGAGGATGTAGATATGATCAATAATTACATGTTGAGTTTGAATACTTCTGAGGAGAAGATCTATCTAAGCAGTGAATCGGCATCCTCTTTTGATTCTGAAAACAATCTGCTTGACGAGATCCATTCACCGGAATTCCTAAATGGAATACGCTGTTCTGGAGTTCCGGCACATGAAATCAGGTTAAAGGTAGGTGTACCTGTCATTCTCATGAGGAATATTGATTTCTCTTCAGGGTTATGCAATGGTACTCGGCTTATTGTGACCCGGCTTGGAGATAATATTATTGAGGCTCAAATATTGACCGGAACAAATGCTGGTAAGAAGGCCTATATTCCAAGACTTACACTTACACCATCCGATGTTAGATTGCCATTCATGTTTCAACGTAAGCAATTACCATTGGTGGTTAGTTCGCGATGACGACCAACAAGAGTCAAGGCCAGTCTCTTGAAAGAGTAGGCATTTTCTTGCGTCGCCTAGTCTTTACTCATGGTCAGTTGTACGTGGCGGTATCTAGGGTTACAAATCCATCAGGATTAAAATTCATGATATGTGATGATAAGGGTGAGCCTAGCAATTCTACACTTAATGTAGTGTATAAGGAAGTGTTCAAAAATTTGTAAACGCTTTGTCGTATTCAATACAAGCGAATAAAATATTAAAATTCATGTTTTAATATAACGTTTATCATTGATCTTTCGGCATTGCACACACTATCAAAGTAAAATAAAAAATATAACCCATATATCAAATTAATTTATAATACACATACCTAATTTAGAACTCAAAATTACAAAATATTTAAATTATAAATATTTAATACCCGTGCAACGCACGGGTGAAAAACTAGTTATTTTTAAGGCTGAGCATAGAGATGCTCTCATTCATAATTTGTCTCACAATTGATTTCTGAGATACAATTTAGGGAAGAGTTTTACAATGATTGAGAGAAATATGTATATCGAATCGCTTCCTGATTGAAAGTGTGTCATCGATTAGTATATTGGTAATCATTACTTTAAAACTTTCAACTTTGAAATAGACATCACACAATGCTGGAACTTGCGTATTGCGTATGCAAACAGTATCATTGTATGCCTGTAAATATTCTGAATTGAAGTAATAATAATTCTCAATTATAGTCCAATTGCATGTACATATAAGCATGTTGCTACCTTTTCTATTTGGTTTTCTCTTTCACTCTAACTTGATATTATGATAACTTATCAAGCTTAAGATAAAGCAATTGCAAAGTAGCACTCACTCAATACCAAGTTATTAGTGTGTTTCTTATAGCCGTTATATTTACTTGTGTTTAACATAAGTATTTATAAGTATTTGTTGAAAAATAGAAGAGAAATTGGGAAAATACCTTCAAAATAAGAGCTAAAGCATAAAACATTGTTATGAACGGCTTTTGGGACCAAAAAGATGATGTTT